ACCAACTACAGAATCTGGACCAGTCTGAAGAAGTTTCTATCTGTGTCTTCTCTCCTTTTATTTGTTTGACTGAGGAGAGGCCTGCCTAGCACTCAAGTGGAGTCACAGACTCACAGACTCTTGACTCATGGAGTCAAAGATCTTTATTTTTTAATACAACCTAGGCCCCCTCATATGTCATCACTGAATCCCTCCCTCATCACACCCCTGCCATTGGGACTTCTGTCTGAATTTGAATTCACCTGGTGCTGAGGACTTCCTGTCTTCAGACTGTCCCTTCTGTCCCTTGCCCAGTTGTGCCTCCTGACAGTACAACTTCAGTACATTTTCTTTGACAGGAGAGTCCTCAAATGTCTGAAGACAATATCACACCTCCTGAGAAGTATGTATCCTCTGACATTAATGTTAGCAGGGAACAGTGGAAGAATGGGACACAGAAGCAAAGAAAGGGGACAAAACATTAATTTAGTGCCTCAAGACATGTGTTCTTGGTTCCTCCTGATGGTAAAATTTGCTTCACCAACACGTGAAAAGTAAACTTGGACTAAAAACCAACTCCACTGATTCATATATGTTTATCAAGAACTTATTCTATGCCAGGCACTGTACTAGACTCTGGGACCCAAAAGATGGATTAAACCTTTCCACTCCACAAAAATGAATGACTTATTTAAGGTCCCTGAAACAGTGGAACGGCTAAGGTTTAAGCAAGGGGCATTTGTACTGTCCCATAAATGTCACTCAGCATTTTCTTTTTCTTTGAGGCAGAGTTTCACTACGTAGCCCTCGGTTGAGTGCTGTGCTGTCTCAGCTCACAGCAACCTCAAACTCTTGGGCTTAAGTGATTCTCTTGCCTCAGCCTCTCAAGTTGCTGGGAAAACAGGAGTCACTCAGCATTTGAACAATTTGCTTTGTTCCCTCAGGGTTCTTTAGATTTCTAAGACACCTTCCCCTTTTCTCCTCCCCATGGTGGTATTTCTTGGCATTTTAAGGAAGGCTGCTTCATGGGCTTTAGACTCCATATATCCACTGGTTTTCTTCTTCTTTTTAACCATGATATTTTTGTAGTTGACTACAACGCTGTGTAGTCTTCTAAGACTTTAAGATCATTGCAGTTACAGCCAATATGGGATGAGGAAGGAAAGAATCTTGAAATGTAGTTGCACATAATCTTGTTAATTAACATGTGTCTTGGCTGGCACCTGTAGCTGTGCAGCTAGGGAGCCAGCCACATACACCAGAGCTGGTGGGTTTGAACCCAGCCCGGGCCTGCCAAACAACAATGCAATGACAACTACAACCAAAAAATAGCTGGGTATTGTGGTGGGCACCTGTAGTCCCAACTACTTGGGAGGCTGAGGCAAGAGAATCACTTAAACCCAAGAGCTTGAGATTGCTGTGAGCTGTGACGCCACAGTACTCTACCAAGGGCAACATAGTGAAACTGTCTTAAAAAAAAAATGCATCTTACTGGTTTGACTGTAAATGAACTTTAAAATAGATTTAAAGAAAAGAAGCAATGGATCAAGAATGAACTATTCTTGGCTGTGAGCCTCTCTCTTTCTATGTGTGTATAAAATTACATATATGAAATAAATGTATTTATTAACTAGACAAAGTTAACTTTTGTTTCAGAGTTTTAGCTCACATCTGCTTTTTCTTTTTTAAGACAGTCTCACTTTGTCACCCTTGGTAGAGTGCCATTGCATCACAGCTCACAGCAAACTCCAACTCTTGGGCTCAAGCAATTTTCTTATCTCAGCCTCCCGAGTAGCTGGCCCACCACAACACCTGGCTATTTTTAGAAGCGGTGCCTTGCTCTTGCTCAGGCCGGTCTTGAACCTGGAGTTCATGCAATCCACCTGCCTTGACCTCCCGGAGTGCCATTATTATAGGCATGAGCCACTGTGCCTGGCCCACCATCTGCCATATTTTGATATAGGTAAAATCAGGTTTGAATAAACTCCAAGGAACACTTGGGGGGACATGGTGGTGAAAGGATGTCTGCAGAATTAGAAAGGGGGAGGCAGGTGCTTATACAAGATGAAAGGAGTCACAGAAATGCCTAGTTCAGCATTTTTCAGACTCTGTTTAACATGTAACACGTAGTTTAAGCAAGATACTATTTAGACACATTTAAAAATTACCAGATGGATGCAGAGCTGCCCTTGTGGTTGCGTGTACACACACACCTGGGTGGATTCCCACCTACTCTTTGTTGGGGGTCTTCCCAAATTATCAAATCACTAATCTAAGGCACCTCCATTATTTTCCAGATGAGGAGACTAAGGTCTAAAAAGAAAGGTCAGGTCTAGAACTCAGCTGTGTGTGTCTGGGTGGAAACCATACACTGTCAGTGATTCAGTTTGTCGCTTGTCAGGCATGTCCTTTGCTGCCTCCCAGCCCTTCTGCCCTGAGTCACTGAATGCTTCCAGCTGTCTGGCTACCAAGAAGACATAGGGCTGTCCAAAAACAAGGGTTGGAAGGAGGGCTTTGGTCAGGAACCTTCTTTTGTTTACAGTATTTTACCAACCAGTCCAGAGTCAAGGTTTCCTCATGCCCAAAAGGGTGCTCTCTGCAACCTGTTTCTGAATGAAAAATAAAACAAGACAAGCTTCTTTGCTCCCTTTGGTCTTTTCTCTTAGGACCTTATAGGCCAACAGCTTCTTCTCTCATAAGACTATTCCCCTCCCCAGCTGTTCTTCCCTTGTCCTCATTGTGGTCACCACCTGCAGACTTAACAGAGTCCATACTTTTAACTGGCTGCCTCAGTTTCCCACAATTCCTTTAAGATGACACATTAGCTCTGTGCATAAACAGACAACTGCCTCCTTTCCTCCCTCCTAGCAGTCCCTAGGACCCTCTTTCCACCTGGTGTGTCCTGGCAATCTCCAGTCCTAAATCGAATCAGCTCTTTGCTCCTTTTAGGCAACTCATTGATTTTTCAATGAACTTAGCTTGTCTGTTTTATTGGCACTAAAGAGGGTTGGGTTCTTAGCATCATTAACATTTTAGTTGAGGAAGAATTCCCAAATGCCACAGGCATTAATCCCAAACTGTTAAACATCTAAAAAGTAATCTGTGCTCAAACAAAGCTCGGCCAGGTCTGTCCCCTTTTTAACTTGGATGCCAATGAGCCCCTAGCCCCAAATCTACCCAAGTTTTCTATACTGAGTGGTGTTAAGGAAAACACTGGAGTATAATAAAAGTTGATGTCTTTGTCTGTGGCTGCTACTACTACTGCCATTGAGGACCACTTTCCCCCCAGGGATCCATATCTACTCAGCAATTACCTGGCAGGCACAGGGCATCCTGGGACAGTAATTTCCATCTCTGCAGACACACCAGTTGGAGGTAATACTTGAGTGGATGGGTGTATAAAATAAAGACGGCCATTCAGGTTCAAAACCTCTGGGTGCCTCATCTCACTTTCTCTCTCCACCATCCCGCTAGAGTGAAAAGACCCTGCACTGGAAGTGGGAGATGGTCTGATCTTGTTGTTGAATACTCAGTAATTGTAAATGACATTTAATGCAGTGGACTCCCATTTCCTCCTCTGTAACATAAAAGAGTTGAACTACATCATTGTAAGACCTCTTCACATCCTGAAATCAGGATTCCGTGAAGTAACAGGCTCTACCAATAAAACCAAAGATGGGAAAGTGGAAGGTCTCCTGGACCACAGCGCCTAAGAGGACCATCACTTGAAAGCCAGACTGGCTATCAGGTTCATTACTTTAACCTTTGATTTTATTTCTGAGCTAAACCGACTATTTAAAAATTGCAGAAGAAACACATTTCCCAGTTACTGAACTAAAAATGACTAGATTCTGTATGTCATTCTATATATTATTATACAATCGTGATTGCGAATGATAAATTGTAACTCAAAGAAGAAAGACTATAAAGGAAGGCTCTTGTGGGATCAGAAAAGTAATTCATTTTAGTCTTACCTGGTGTGAGACATGGTCATATATTTTCAGAGTTACACTGGTAAATCCCTAAAGTAGTTTCTAGAAATATAAATAATACTAATATTACCTTACTCTTGTTCACCATCCTATATTTTTCAAAGTGCACTCATTTGATCATTTGACAGTTCCTCCCTAGCAGTCTAAATAATGTCCTGTGATGTGTCACGTCAAATTCATAGGGCATTAGGGAACTTCCTATAGAAATGTGCCAATGCCCTCAGGGGTAGAGAGATCTTCAGACTCTCTGAGTCTGTGCTCAAACAAAGCTCGGCCAGGTCTGTCCCCTTTTTAACGTGGATGCCAATGAGCCAGTGACTTTCAACCTCAGATTGGCTCCTGGTCATCACGAAGGGACTCAAGAAATCCTCAAATCCAATTTCTCTTATTTGGTCCCTGCTACACTTGCCATCTCCATCCCGACAAAACCCACCTCCCTCCTCTACCATTCTGCCCTTTCCCTCTTCCTTCCCTCCAGAAAAGTCACCTAGGGGGACTGCTAAACTGTTAGAGAAGTACAAGTACAAATACTAGTTTCAGGTAAAGTACTAGAAGGATACTGAATACAACACGCTGTTTTAGGCCTTTATCTTTTTTCTTTTTTTGATGGCTATTAGACAAATAGGCCTTTATCTTATACCAGATAAATTTCTGTTGACCTGAGTGCCTAGAATACCCTTTCCCATCTTTCTAGCCTCAGAGCCTCAGCCCAAGCATCATCTATCCACTCTATGAAACCTTCTTGGCTTTCTGGACACTTCCTTTTCCTCTCCAGGACAGACTGCCCACCTCCAGGAGGGTATCAATTGCCATTTTTTGTGTTTTGTTTCGTTTTGATCTCCCACGGGACTGGACTCTTTGAGAACCTGGACCACATCTGTTTCATTTCTGTGTTGCTAATGTGTGGCACAGTGCCAGGCACTGAGGAGGGACCAAATGACAAATAAATGTTGAATTAAATTGAAAAGACGCTATAAAAACCAATGTAAGGTTAGAACTTTAAAATAAGACAGGGCTAAGTATACATACCTCATGTGAAGTAATAAGTAATTTAACAGAAAATTTCACATTTCCCCCCACAGTTTGGGGATGATTTCTCTTCCATTTCCACACACTAGGACATACTAGGAACCCATCTCCTGCTTTTGGCATATCCTAAAATTGTAAGACCAAGACCTCTTGATAAGTATTTCATGGATACTGTGAGAAGAATTTGACATTTGCAATCTAAAATTCCTGAGAAGCAGCAAATGTGTATAAGTGAACATCTTCATGTTACTTAAGGTTTGCCTCTGTGTTTTGTAGAATATAAAGCTGATTGTATGGCTTGAAATACAAAAATACTTTAACATCTATATCCTAAATAGTAAGAACAAAAACAAAACACACAGGTTAGCAATCTGTTCAAGGAGAAAACTACATGTATGTTGTTCCTTTAAATTTTGCCAGTTAAAGATAAGTAAAGCTTGGGGATGATTACTAACTGCTTTTTTTCTTTGATAAGAGACCTCACATAAAAATTGGACATTTAAAATTTACTGAAATCCTTAATGTCCTAAACTTTAAAAAGTTTATATAACAAAGGACAGATTCTAAACACCTCTTTTAAAAGAGGGCAAACTTTTTAGGTATTTTGCAGTTCTAAGTATGATGAGTACATATAAATAAGATTATGATAACTATGGTCTCAATTTAAGATAGACTATAAGACAATATTAAATAATCAACTTTAGGATTAGTAACAATATACCACAGGCTTTTAAAACACAAACAAAATTAAGTTAAAAAACTCAAGTATTTCTACATTAGCATTTGAAAAGTGTTTAATGTTTTTAAATAGTTTTTAGAACATATGCTTTCTACTCTATTATGAAACAAATACTCTACCCAAAGCACAATTTATTACTACAAAATAAATGTTTAAAAGACAGTCTGCCAATTGAAAAAACAAAACACATTAAAATAGCAGGTTTCCAAGCCAAGTTAAACAAATATGTTCTCCTTGACAAGCTGCTTACATTTAAATGAAAACAGGGCAAATCTGGTCAATAATATGGATTGCATATAATAAAAAGGACCTTAGATCATGTTAATATAAGGATCAGAAGGCAGGAACTTCAATTAAAACCATCCAATTATTTAGCAAACTTTCAGATACAGCAAATAAATTAACCTGTTTTAAATGAAAGTACTCGGGTAAGTAGCTTTTTGACCTATGAGTAAGTCTCACTAGCAACAATCACAGAAGCAAGAACCTGCTGAAGCAAGGCAAAGCCCCCCAATCAAACAAATGTTATCAGTAATCAAAAAGCATTTGCAAAACCTATTTCCTTGGTTAGGTGGGGGGGTTCCGAAGCAAATGCCACCTACAGCTCCTCTCATACTTTGACATACAGTGCATAGGGCTGAACACACACATCTCTTACTCATGAATGACTGGGGCATCCTGGTGTTAACAATAGGATGTTTTCATTTCTGTACTATCTTGTAGTGAAGGGCAGTTCTCACACAGCAAAGAATAAACATCTTTCACTTAAAACCTATTATCTATGTATGTTTAACTTGTATGGGATTTAAGAATGCCTCTTTATTGAGAGAAGTAATATGTCATCATTTTGTTCAGCTAACAGGCCTGACAGTTCTGTCTCCTTAAGTTAAGAACAGGAGATCTCAATTTCGTACACTGGTGGCAAAAGCTGGCAGAATAAATGAGAATTAGCCAATTGGTGGTAAAAGTTTCTAATCCTAAAGATTCTGACTTTCATTTTTCTTAATTATTATTTTGGCCAAATATGGCGTTTTTTATAGATAAAATGATCTCTATGTACTGCAATAATTTATTTGAATGCTATTCTTATGTGTTTTTAACAAATAACATTACTATACACGGTTTCTCTTATCTTTTTGATCCTTTTTTACTACTTATCATCTTTATTTGAAACAGATTTTTAACAGATAATCGTGATCGTTACAACAATATCTTGCTTGCATTTTATTCAAATAATTCTTAAAAACAGCTTAAAAAGCCGTTTGGAATAACATCAAGCTTGCCATCAATCAAATGAAAAAATTCCGCTGGCGGTTGTATAAACATCAGATCAAGTCTGATGTCTTCAAGGATTTCAGAGTGAACCATAAAAAACTCCATTAACTTCTGACAAAGAATGCAAATTAATCACAACATGGGGTGAAATGAAATTAAAGGCTCTTTTCTAATCAATGACAAGGCAGGATGAAATATTTGTTACTCTCTCTGCACTCATACTGCCTAGGATGTTTGCACTTCCCTTGCAAAGCCCCAAATGTAAGGTGTGAGTACAGATTCACTCACAGTGAATTCAACACCCCCCACCCCCAAGCTATCTGCTTACAAGTCGTGGAGATTCACAAAACACACTAATCATCTGAATCTCAGGTGCATCCAATTTGTTATTCACACTCTCCCATGCCAGTGAAAAGCCTGGCGCAGACAGATGCACCAGGAACCCTAAATGACAGTTTTGGCCTCCGGAAGTACGATCACTACAGCAAAATCTAGTACAGCCTCCAGGTGAAATGTCTGGAGCTCCATATGGAGCAGGGAAAATTAACAACAAGATGAAAATCACTGCAGCAGCGGGGAGTCGGAATTTTTGAAAAAAAAAATGAAATTTAAAGATGAAGAAAGAGAAGTAATAAATTAATGGGGTGTGAAAACATTCAAAGCTTTACAATACCAGGGGCATTATTTGCTCAGATTTTTTCCCTTTTTTAACTTCAGGTCATTTTTATGTAATTTATTAACCAAGATCAGGAATTGTAGCCAAAAGAAGAACAATATTTTTATACATGCAAAAGTACTTTAAATACATTTGGGTTTGTATTATCTTCACTTTCCTGTGGCATCTTGCTTACCAAATTTCTAACACCAGAGCTGATGCCTCCCCTGAGAAGTCTCCTTAATGGATTTACTATCATCCTAATGCAGGGCGCTGCTGTAAAGTTTGAATGAAGGATGACAATTTTTTAGCAGGCAATCCTTTTCATTTCTCCTAAATTATGGTGTCATTAAACAAATCATTGCCCACCATCATGTTTTTTATCTAATAAGTCAACTGAATTTGAATCTACATGATTAACTATACGCAGCTCCAGTCCTTGTCCAGACCTGCACATCTTTCCATCTTTATTAAAGCTAAATTGTTCAAGAAATTGAGGCACTGTTTGGAAGGTGTTTAAAACGCAATTTTAAAAACTTTAATTTCCTACTATATAATATGCTTCCCAGGCACCCAAAATTTAATGGCACTGAGGTCAGTAAGGGTTCTGGGGCCCTTTGGATTCCCTGTCACTCTGCTAAACACACGTTAAGAAAAGCAAAAGGGCTCTAGGGAATGGTCCTGTAATCATCTACAATGGCACGACCCTCTGGTGCTCAACACTTCCTGTCTGTACAAGAGGCCTCCCTAGGGCAGAGAAGGCAAACTAGAAGAAGGGGTTGATGGGACTGAGTGGGAAGGTAAGTGGGGGTATGAAGAGCCAGCCAAATTAAGAGGTTGCAGAGCTAGGCATTTGGTTTAACTGCCTATGGGTCAAGACCCAACTATACCCATTCCTGCCTAAGGCAAAGTGTCTCATCTCTCTGGGCCTCAGTCTACTCATCTGGAGGCTGGAAATAATAGTCCCTATAGGTGGAATGCACAGCCTCATTCAGATACCAAAAAGTGCTCTGGAGCTCTATGTGCAAAAGGTGCCAGATAACTCCAAGACACCACTGCTCTTCATACAAGCCATAGAATAAGAATGCACATTTATAGTAGCTCCTAACCTTTTTTCCTATACAATTCCAAACTGCACGCCAAGGAGGCTATTCAAGCCTAAGGCCTAAAGGAAACTACAATAGTCAGTGCTTTCAAATAACAAACACCTGACCCACAAAAGAATGAATTTCATATAGAATGATTACCTCGACAAACATGATCTCAACAAGACCCTGGCCCTTTAACCTTTACGTTGGTCCCAAGTGACTGGCTTTCCCTAACATCCTCCCCACACCCCTCCCCCACCTGTGTCCCAACTGGATACACACTGTGTCACCATCAGAAGGAGGGGCTGCTAATGATGTTCTTGTCATCAGCGCTGCTGCTGAGCTGAGGGAACAAGTCTCCCAGCTTTACCCCCTGCTCTTTTTGTGCTCTGCTCCAGTTGTGGGTGGCAGGTTGCTAAGAACATTCCTGTGCAACCTTCAGTCAGTATATGAAAATTCTGTTTTGTGCTGCAGCCTGGCCATTTGTACTTTCGTTTTTGCAGTTTTGGCTGGGGCCAGGTTTGAACCCGCTACCTCCAGTATATGGAGCCAGCACCCTACTCCTTTGAGCCACAGGTGCCGCCCCCCTTGGTACTTTTCTTTTCTTCTTTTTTTTGAGACAGAACCTCAAGCTGTCGCCCTAGGTAGAGTGCCGTGGCATCACAGCTCACAGCAACCTCCAACTCCTGGGCTTAAACGATTCTCTTGCCTCAGCCTCCCAAGTAGCTGGAACTACAGGCACCCACCACAACACCTGGCTATTTTTTGGTTGCAGCTGTCATTATTGTTTGGTGGGCCGTGGCTGGATTCAAACCTGCCAGCTCTGGTGTATGTGACTGGTGTCTTAGCCACTTGAGCTACAGGCACCGAGTCCCTTTGTACTTTTCTAAGTAGTTTTATATCCATAGTCTCGTTTGGAACAGATAGGAGAGGAAGGTTATCAAGATCTTCATTTTAGAGATGAGGAAACTAAGGCCTCAAGGAGTTACAAAGCAAGAATGAAGGCCGGTGGCAGAGCTGAGTTTTAATACTAGTCTCTGGCTCCTGATCCAGAGTTCTTTCCGTTAGGTCAGTCTTAAGTTTGGTGGCCTAATACGACTTTGGGTTCACAGCACCAATTCTCAGGCACTGTCCCCAGCTCTGGAAATAGGGATTCAGAACAGTGTCATCTTAAGGATATATGAAAAGACTTCATGTGTTCAAGGACCAAACTAGTGGCTAAGTAGGATTAGGAAGGTAGTCTTCAGTGGAGTAAACAGAACACAGCTTTGACTCTAAGGCTGCTTTGTAAAGTAGTGAGTTTCCTGTTACTAGAGGTAGTCAAGCAGTGTGGATATTTGCTTTTCAGAGACCTTGTAGAGAAGTTTGACTTGATAACATCTACAATCCCTTCTAACCTGAGACTCTATGATTCACGCCTGCCTACCTCACTTGGGAGTCAATGAAACCAAACCAGCTGCAGTTTAACAGTGACTAAATCAGCCATTTTTCTGCCCAATTTATGAGGGGAGGCTATCTCATGAAGTGGCTATGAGTACAAATGAGATAACAGGCCATAATCCAGTCTCTGTGATAGTATAAAAATATACATTTTTCTTCTTCATGTGCTTTATTTGAGGGGAAAATGAAGGAGGAAAGGTATTTTAAAAATATCCTTTCCCAACCTTCACGCTACAATACAAAGACTGTAAAGGAAACACCAACTCTACCAAAAGTCACTATTCTAGCAATGAAGCATAGAAACTTCTGTTGAAAGACCTGGGGAACAGATAAAAGTATGAATTTGGTGACAACATTCTATCATCATTCAATTAATACAGTTTTCCCTCTACTCTGGCATAAAGGTCATTGCTAACTAGGGAGTTCAGCATAGTATTAGAATTTTCCAGTTTTGATCAAATGTATACTTTACATTCAGGAAAATAATGCTGCAAAGGTTTATGGTGTTTCCTTAAATTTGGCCACAGCCTTCATTTGCCAAATGCTCAATCTTTGGAAATTTTATTCATTTGCTTACGTGTTCTCTATAAAGAATCGTTTGAGAAATATATCGTATAGGGTTTGTTCTGCTCGTTTTCAAAATTTTAGGGGATTGCACAAATTGGCCAAACAGCAAATTGTTTGAAAATTATTGACAGAATAAGAGGCTTACCAAGATAAATATTCTAATGAGCTATAAATCCTGAAAATGTGATTTTAATTTGATGGGCTACCTAGAGCTAAGCAGCAAGGCTGTAAACACTAAAATCTTACTAAATGCTAGCTAGCGTGCATGCCAAGAGATCACATTTTAGATTTCCTCTTTAAGGAAAAGATTATGTTTAAACGAAGAAGTCCACAAATTTGAAAAGTGAGACTACTGCTCTTGAACCTAACAACTAGGAGGATTTCTCTTTCACTTATCTGATAGCTTTAACTATGAAAAAAAAAGAATACAAAAGAGACTTTCAGTGAGTGAAGGGTCTTTAAATGTCCACATGGGTACCAGGAGAATTTGCTTAAAACCACTTATAAAGACGGTAGAGAGAATGAGCCCCATCCTATTATTCAATAACCATGTTTGTGATGCATCTGCATAATCTAACCATGCATAAATTAGTATGTGTAATACAACACTTATTTGCATAATAATAGCAAGTTAATAGATGCTTAAAGAGCAGAGACCAACACCACCTTTAAATCAGACGTGCCTCCAGGCACTTTGGCCTGTACAGACCAAGATGCCAGAAAAACAGTGAGCATCAACCAGAGGAAAACAGTCAAACCATTCATTTTTCATCCCTCTAGACACTTCACTTATTTCCCCCACACACTGGGGAATCATTTTCAAACCACAAAACAGCTTTATATTTTAAGTGCCAGCACCCTTCAATAATAAAAATCTAGAAGAAATTATAAACATTAGCGGCAGCAATGCTAATACAATGGAGCAAAATCTTTAAGAAGAATATATTCAAAATCATGCTCACATAAAACTGGGGGCCCATCTAGCAAAATTAATGACCTAGATTAGAAACTCTCATTCTTCACTTAATTCTTTAATTCAAATAAAATTTTAATTTTGAATCCAAAAGCTCAAAAAACGTATCAAGAAAAGTCTGGGTCTCTCTTTCGACCCTAATACTCATATGAATACACAGGTACTGGACCAGGAAAAGAAAAAACATCTCATATGTTACACAAAGGAAGAGCACAATGATCGCTTTCAACCTTTAACAAAGAAAGGAAAAAAATCAGGAGTTTAAAAAAATCAAAAAATCAATAGAGACTTCTAAATGACTCCTTTAAGATATCACTTTTCAATTTAACAGGACAGATTTATTTGTATGTGGCTCAAATGTTCACAATTGCTCCCTGCACCTTCATACATAGGAATGAATGTCACAGTGGCAAACGGCAGTAATGAACAATCTTACCTGAGGATATGGAAACCTCCCAAGAGCAAGCTGGGAAAGGAAATAATATTTGTCTAGTTATAGATTTGCATGCAGGGCAGATCTCCTTAAGACAGACAAGTACTAAATTTCAGAATTCATCTAGCAAATATAAAAAACCTTACAACCTCAAATGTATAAACTAAATTATTGCTGTAATTACATTAAGAGCTGTATTTAGAATGGACATTTTCAATGGACAATGTTGCACCCCTAATAAAACAGTCTAATTTTAATAACTAAGCATTACCCTTATGTGGTTTCTCAGCAATATTCTCAGCTCTATGGGCATTGTTCACATTTACATATGTACCACGGTTTCTTCTAGACAGAGATGTAAAAGAGATGATAGCTGTTTTGCTCTTGTAAAAGGGGAACATTTAATTGTTTCTTGCCCACAGCGCTGTGGAGTTTTGAGTTACAAGAATAAACGAAGGTCTGTAAGAAGCAGGGAATGGACCATGTTACCAAATTGCAAATTCATAATTGTGCCATTTTTTATCCATTTGGTTTTTTTTTTTTAATCCATTTTCTTCCATAGTTAGAAGAAGGCCACCACTAGTGGAAAAATGGCCATTTCAAGACTGAAGCCAGAACTGTAGCTCTAAGAGTGAAAACGGGAAAGCGAGTCCTTAGAGTTTCCAGTTCGGCTTCATTTGGAAACCGTTCTGTGTTTCTCTGTACAGGTGACTTAATTCTGGTCTTTGGATCCTTATCTATAAAAATAAAATAATTCAACTAGGAACAGGCTTGATAGAAAGTAGTAAGATAAAATTTAACAAACACATGACTTAAAGAAAATTGTGTCAAAATTTTGCAACTTCATAATGTAGTCCTTCTAAGGCCCTAACACCATTTACGTGTATTTGTAACAACTTTCAAAGTAGAATCATAACATCAGGAATTTTTTTTTAAAAAATAGAGACAGGGTCTTCCTGTCATCCAGGATGGAGCATAGTGTCCACATTCATAGCTCACTGCAATCTCACACTCCTGGGTTCAAACAATCCTCTTGTCTCAGCCTCCCAAGTGGCTAAGACCTCCTGTGTGTACTCTACCACATTTGGCTAAATTTTTTAATTTTTTGTAGAGACAGCATCTTGCCATGTTGCCCAGACTGGTATTGTGATTTTAAAGCTATAATGGATCCAAGAGACCATTAACCCACTTTATAGACAGAATCTTAGGATTCAACTGACATTGTTCCCACACAGTAAGTGGAAGCCTAAGAAATGACCCCAAGAACTGTGACTTAACATATTACGTTGCCTTTCTAGATTTTGAGAAGTGGTGCACTTATTTCAAAGACACACTGCTCAAACATTTCTCAACTCCTCTTTGGAAATCATATTTAGAATTATTTCAAGTAACAGAACACCTAATTCATCTTATTTCTAATAAAATCTTATCCTGAATTTAAAATTATACCCCTCATCTTGTTGATCATGTGAATTATTTGTAGACTATGGATATTAGCCAAACTCAAGTCATCTACAAATAATAAATATTTTGTTACTTATTAAGGAAAGACATGAAGGTGCTGAGGTTTCCAAAGTTCTAATACTAGTCTGAGCAATAGCAACACAGCAGGAAAAAGCCACATGACTTTACTTACAAGTGACTACTTTCCAAGGGCCAATACTCATGGCGGTTTTGGTGTGTGACACACTTTTTGCATGCGGGACACAATTGTAAGAACGACCTTACCTAATAAATGCAATCAATGTAACCTGGTATCTTATACTCTAAATGAATTCCCCAACAATTAAAAAAAAAAAAAAGGCTAGCAGTGCCTGTGGCTCAGTGAGTAAGGCGCTGGCTCTACATACTGAGGGTGGCAGGTTCAAACCCGGCCCCGGCCAAACTGCAACCAAAAAATAGCTGGGCATTGTGGTGGGTGCCTATAGTCCCAGCTACTTCGGGAGACTGAGGCAAGAGAATCACCTAAGCCCAAGGGCTGGAGATTGCTGTGAGCTGTGATACCACAGCACTCTATCAAGGGCGATAAAGTGAGACTCTGTCTCTTAAAAAAGAAAAAGGGCCAATACTCATTTGGGTATGTGTGTGTGTTTATGTATGTGCATGTGTGTATATACACACAGCTGACCAACTTGCACTGAATTTATTTATATCTATTTTATGTGTATATGTAAATATACACATGTTTTGGAATATCTAGCAAATTACATTACCTTGTACTCATATCTTTCCAGAGATTCTATTACTACCTCACTGATGGATATCATTAATCCTTTTAAGTATAAATAACAAAAACATCATCAGATGACAGAATGAAAGTACAGATGTTCACCAAACTCCCTTTCAGAGTTTTGTGTGATTACATTTGTTGTCTATGCACTGTTATCCAGAAGAGGAGAGACTCGGCTCTTCTATCCTCTGTCCCCACCCTGCCCCTACCCAACACAGGCTTGTAGGTTTGCCTTACATTTTGAAAATACAGTGTTTTTCTGGCCAATATGAGTGTGTACATTGATTCAGGAGGAGTCACAGTGGTCTAATGTGGTGGGTGGACTAGGCATTTACATCATTCTGTATTGACTTGACAGGCAGCGACAGAGCATCTAAAGCTGTTGCCTGTTGTCACAGTGATCTGTAGATTACAGACTTTGCATATACTTCTATTTGGAGTAAAAAACCAGAAGAGGAGAGTTTTTCACCTAAAAAAGCTAATAACTTAAAGCTTCTAGAAAACATTTAGAACATCCTATCTCAAGCCATTCATTCAAGTGCATGTTGAAGATGTGGTTAGGTACCATGGAAGCAGAAGAAACCTGCCCAACATATAACAGTCAAGAGCTAAACTAGCTGCAGGTGCCAACACTGTCTACTGGTTCTTAACAGTTTAAAGAATGAAGCAGTGATAAATGGATGGCTTTAAAAAGGTGGGCTAAAGCAAAAAATACGAGTTCTTCCCATTTCGACACAAAGCCTTCAATTCTCAAATCATAATCATTCCATGGAGAGATCAGGCTCTAGGCAACTTGGGAATGTGCACTCATCTACATGACTCCTTCTGTCACGACTAGACCAAGTCTGGCTGATGTGATTCATTTCCCCTGTAAGATACCACCAGGTGACACAACAGAGAGAAAATGTAGTGCAAGTTGGTCAGCTGAAAGCACCTCTGTACTAGTGTCCTTGGGGACAACTGGCAGTGCCTGAACCTGTGAACTCACCGCTCTTGGGTTTGGCTTTGTTTTCTGTGTAATTTCTTGCCACCCTGTAGGACCTAGATAGATAAGTCCTACCTATCAACTATGCTCTTGGGAGGACGGCTCCTAAGATATCTTGCAGGTCTGAACGCTTTTGGAGTTAGAGGTCAGAGCGTGGCTGCTTGACCTTAAGCAGTTTGTACCATGACAACAGCAGCATGATGACAATCACTTCCAGTGACATTATTAGGCTAGCACCAAAAGCAGTCATTTTACGGCTCCAGGAGAGGAACCCGCTCTCCACGCATCTCTCTGTCCTTCTAGGACTAATGCAGCTGCAGTGTTTATGTTCCATGCTATCTGTCTTATGGAAAAGTAGAAGGAAAGCTGTAGCCTGACCACAGAACCCTTTTATCAAGTTCTATTAGGAAGAGGTAAAAAACAGAAAGGGCTCTTAGCAGGTACAGCTACATGAAGAACAGTTTTTCATAAGGCTGTCAAAAATCAAAATAAACACAGAACGCTGATGGATATAAGAGGAGCACATAAACTCTGAGTGAGTATTTCAGAGACAGACAGACCTGGGGCCATTCTGTATCTTTTACCCCTACTGGTCTATTAATCTACTTGCATTTTCCCAGTTTTTATTGTCAAGGTATTATAAATTAGGAAACTTACAAAAGAGAGTATGTAATCTTCTCTGAAATGGCCTGCAGATATGTCACTGTACTAAATGTGTTTCAGATTTAATGAAGCTTTAATGTCCTTTTTAATTTTGCCTGTTTCTGTATCACCAGGGGTCGGGCAAGGCAATCAGCACTCAAGAGGGTGGTTTGGTTTAAAACTAGGAAAAAACTCATTTGCTTATGAGTTGCACTGTATTTTCTTAATTAAATTTACTGAGTAAAATGGTTTAAGTTCAGCCAACCAATGACCTTTGTATGTAGATTTAGATTTATAAATAGGTTAACAGTTAAAGTAAAGGGAAAAAAAATTCACAACAAAGCAAACAGATTAGGGCTAAGCCAATAGAAATCTTTGCTCTCTTTATCATCTTTACAAAAGCAGCATTTAAATATAGGCAGCTTAAGTCATTTGAAAAAAAATATATTGAAAAATGTAGACCCACATAAGCGCTAGCAATTCATCAAAGGACTCTCATGTCCTTTTCATTCCCAGGAGGGGAACAGCTCATGTTGTGAAAGATTTGGAAGAGCTTTATTTATTTATTTTTGGGTGGTGGGGATGGAAGGAGAGCTGAGGGATTCCATTTGGTGTTAAACGAAAAAGTGCATTTTAATTCCAAATAATTAAGATTCAGCAAAGTAATATTCTGTAGGTTGTGGGACATATATTATGTGAAAGGGAAAAAAAAGAATGCCCTGGAAATGTTTGCCAACTGGGAATACATTCAAATAACAGTAAATCATTAACATCTCATTGTAAGACTAGTACTGTCCCTTACTGTCATCTTACTGATCTTTGATTTGCCCAATCCATAATCTGTGAAATGCTCTAGTCAACAGCACTTGAATATGCTGGATTTCATAGTTTAAATAATAAATATATTTGCATTTTGTACATAGAGATCATAGTAACTGCCAACTGCATGATAGTAACCTTTGTATTTTAGCAAAAAGTTAGAAGATACTTATTTACAAAGCAACAAAAACAGTTTCTGTTGATATTAAAGTAATTATTGTCATGAAATAAAAAATAATAAAGAGGGAATAAACATTGTAGCCAGAAAGCAAGTGCAGGACAAATTCAGGAGAGGTTTTTGGTGATCGTTCTCTCCTTAGAATATCAACAAAGTTGTAGGAGTAGTTTTCAATTTAC